TCGTAAATCCCTGGAACAATCTGTATTTAGTGAGCATAAAGTAGATGAGCTGGGAAAATTTGCTCTGCGTCACTCTTTCAAAAAAGGAGCCAGACTCTTCAAAACAGATTTGCATACCTCCTTACACAGAGAGGAATTTTTGCTGGTTTAACTGCCTTCCCTGGTATTTGTAAATATACTGATAGGAAACTATGAGATTTTATGGATATACTTGATTGTGTTTTTTTTAATGAAGCTCACAATTGGCTGGTGTTAGCAATATGAGCAGGCCTTTATGCAAGCACCACTTGAACTATGCCAGTGTCTGAGTGAGAGTTTTTAGCAGGTTCACAGGGATACTGTATGTATGTAATCAGAGCATAGCACTTAACTACAGTTTGTTGTCACAGAATCACAGAATGGTTGAAGTTGGAAGGGACTTCTGGAGATCATCTAGTTGCACTTGGGATGATTCAGAGATGTGCTGCACACTTTCACATTCACTGCAGTTTTCTCAGACTTCTCCAGGTTGATGCATCCTTGGCACAGAAGAGGAGACTCAAGCTCTCGTTGTGCCCTGACAAGCAATTAACTCAAATATTTTCGAGTACATGAAAGGCTAAAGCAAAACTGTATGTTCTCAGTGTACAAGGGGACTTTGTAGCCAAGGTCCTGCCTGTTTGCTTCATGACATTATGTAGGAGCAGTCTCCAGGGTGATTTTGTGCAGATCCTTTGTGCCAGGCTGAGTTATCTTCTCAGAAAATAGATTAGTTAGGGGACGGATGGTATGTAATAAGAGGCCATTAGTCATGTCTGTGGTCCATCATATGACCTACTTTTGATAAAAATGGATGGCAAAAGGGAATTATTTCAGCTGTGATTAACAAATTTTTTTTATAAGTGTGAAATGTGCAGTGGCTTAGCTTTTCTCACTTGCACTAATGAAAATTTCTGAGTAGGCTTCCATATTGAAGTTGGCCACAAAATAAAGTTGCTTAATTGAGGGAAGAAATTTTCTGTGCTTAAAATAATTGAAGGGAAAAAAAGTTTATTAATTTGTGGAATGAAGATTTTACAAAGCCTGTTAGCTATTAAAATGTGTTACACCCAGATGGCAAAAGTCATTGCCTTCACAAGACTCAGGAGGAATGAGAAGGCTGATGCAAAACCTAGAAATTACAGTAGTAGAGCAGCAACTGAAATGAATGCAGTTCTTTGCAATCCTAAGGAGAGGTTTTGAGGTCAAGGAGAAGACAGGTCAATTGTCTCAGTGCATGTGGTTTGAAAGTTTTAAATTAATAATTTAACAGATTTCAGAAATCTTCTTGGCATAACAACAGCATTTAAAACATGTTGCATGTGAATGGCAGGACAGCTTATAAAATCTGATAGGGGAAGTCCCTAAACAAACAAAAAAAGATAAATCTAAACTTACTTTGTCAGTTATTTCTGGGTTTAGGACCTAGTAAGATTCTTGCAGCTCCTTCCCTTATGATGGTGACTTATTTTGGATGTGCCAGTTTTAAATGCAGAAGTGTAAAACACCTTTTTTCCTCTACATCAAAAAACCTTGTCTTGATTAAGGTTCTCTTGAATGGGTAATCTTATCCTTTTGTAAAAATAATTGGTTAAAATGTTTCATTTGCCAGCTAACATTGTCTGTTATTTTAAGGCTAATATTTCTTAAATTGACAGTTTAGAAGAAACTACTGAGTGTATTCTTTGTATCTCCCCGTACATAAAAAAAGAGTGTATTTAATTACATAAATCTAATATTCATTAGCCCTGTTAGCTTAATTTCTGGTTAGTTGGCTGGTTTTTCTGGTTTTCAGGCCCTGTTTGGAAAGCCTTATTAATTCTTGCAGACCTTCTAGGATGTTTAAAAAAAAACATGTAATTTACTTATTGTGGACTCTGGTGGTTTGAATGTCTTCAGAACTGCTGAGAAACTGCAAACATGAATATATTAAAGGATAGCCACTCTGGTTAGCTCAGAAATGGCAGGTGACCTGCTAGTAGGGAAACACTGCATTCAAGTGCTATAAAAGGGTCCTTCAGGCACATTTCCAATGCTCCAGATGACTGAAGAATTACATATCCATGTCTGACCAGATTCAGGGCAAGGATTACATGGTACAAATAGGGCTGTTTGATTTATAGTAAAAGAAAAAAAAAAAAAAGAAAAAGATAATTTTACTTCTAACATTTCTAGTTAATTCTATTTGTTTGGGGGTGTTGTTTTCCCCAGCATTGATGGGATCCTTGTCTCTCCTTGTGTCAGTTGGGATCCTTGTCTCCCTTATACAGCGTCACACCTGCTTGGGGAAACCCAAAATGGTATGTGTGGTGAAAATGATGCTTTTTTTTTATGCCCTAGAGCAGGTGGGGGATCATCTTGCAAAGGGTTTCTTAACCCCTTTTGCAGCAAAAATCTGATCTCTAAGTTTGGGCTGGAGTATGAGGCATTGCTGTTGCTGTTGTAAATAACTGAGCTGAGAAAGACAGGATTCCAAAGTGCAAACCAGTGCCTGCCTTGAGGAGGGCACTGAAATGCTTGTCTTCATGCACACGGTGTGGTATTTGTGGGCCTGTAAAGGCTGAGTGCTTTCCACTCCAATGCTCTGCAATAACCCACATTATCAGAACTGGCTGACTGTGGGCTTTTTGGTTTGGTTTTGTTTTTAAATGTGGCTTTAGATTGTGAATGAGGAAGCTGCCTTTAAAAAGGTTCTTGAATTCTGAGTTTAATTCCCTTTTTTATGTTGGTCTTTCATTTCTAGATCCAGAAGAGAAGGGGAAGCATTCAGCAAAAAATGCTTGTCCTTTAATTTTTGTGTAATTGAATAGCAGCTTTCAATTCAGCTGTACTGGAATTTATTGAAAAAGCAATATTAGTGTAGTATTTGTTCAGATTTACATGTCTTAAAGAGAAAAGCCGGCAATGTACTCAGTTCTGCTCTCCTTACTCTTTCACAATAGTTATTCCCTCTTAATTGCAGTACCTTATGCAATAAATAGTCCCATGTGTTTCAGTAAGACTGTTTAGGGAATTGAATACCACAGTGTTAGCAGAAATGGAAAAAATGAATAATGCTTTTAAGAAGTTCAGGATTTGAATTGCTCAGTGTGTACATGTATCAAACGTTAATTCTGTTTTGTTTACTTATGGATCCGTTTAAGTTATTACAGAAGACCATCATGTTAATGATGCTTTTTATGACACTTGGTGTGGCATTTGGGATCCTATTAATTAAATTCTACTTGAAAATTCTATTTTAGCCTTGAAAAAAAGTTTTTATATTGCAAAGTACAGGTTGAATTGGTTATGGTTTCTTATGAAAAGTAAAAAAAATCTGTTAAATTTTATAAGTTCCACCAAAAGTAATCACATAGACATGGCTTGGCTCATCCACACTTGAATTAGTGGTCAAACCTACTGAGTATTGCAGGTATTGTTTCTGTTAAAACTGCTCTGTTTCTCTTGAGTGTCCTGGTAGGACCTTTGTGGGGGTTTTGAAGCTTTCCCTGTCCCTTTGTCCCTGACAGGGCTGGCCAAGATCATCCTGTGTCTTGCAGCTGTGTGATCTGTGCATGTCCTGACTGCTTTGCTGTCCTTGTGGATGAGCTCTGGCTTGGGTCACGCGCCCATTCCTCCCATACATGAGAAAAACATAAGCAACAAAGGAAGAAAAACTCACATTTGTGTTTAGAAAATATGTTTTGTTTTAGCTAATGAGTATAACATCAATATTACAATTTTCTTTTTAAAATCAAAACAAACACTGTAGCTGTGCTTCGTCCTGGATTTATTTATGCTATTCATTAATGTGACGTGTCATTTTAAGAATGTCATTTAAGCAAACCCAGCTGGTTTGCTCAGATGTAAATGAAAATCAGCTCAGCATGAAGCTTGTTGAATTTTTTCTAACTAGAACGTTTTATCTGCTTTTGACTTTTTACCAAATTAATTTTTTTTCATCTAAATTAGCACGTGTAGAGAACTGCCTTTCTGTTGGAGCAATATCATTACTATCCCATTCCTTCACTCAGCAAAAGGAGAAAAGAAAAGAGAAAGTGCTTAAAATGGGGCTTATTTGTGGATAAGAATTTAATGATTTTTATTATTTTGTGGTCACTCAACTGGATAACCGTGGAACTAAAATACCGAGTGTTGTTTTGGTCCTTGTTGGTAATTGAAGTTTTAGGAAACAGAAGTCTTTTAAGTGAAATCAAGAGTTACATAGTTCAAAGATGGCAGAAGTTCATAGTGTTCATATGTGAATATGAACTCCTATACAGAGTTTGTAGCTTCCGTGGGGATTCCAGAATTGGACTCACAGTTACAAATAATTTAGTTTTTAATGAGTAGAGTGGTGGTCTTTGAGTATATGAAACTTAAACTATGCAATTCATCTCCTAAATGTATCAGAGAACTTATGGATTGGTGTTAGGATCTGTGACAGCCTTGTATTTTAGCAGAAGATTTTGGAGGCAGAGCATTGCTGTGGCTCTGCACCGTGCAAACTTTATGCTTTTAGAAAATTGTGTTGACTGGGCAGCTCAAGTGCTTGCTACATTTCAGGATTTTGAAATTCCATTGTGCGAAAGGAGTTATGAGGCAGTAGCTCCTTTGGAAACTGATTTACGAAAAAGGCTCTGTTTGGAGGATAATATTCTGTGCTCTTCATTTCTGCAAGCTGCCCTGCTCTTTTCATTAGCGGGTGCTTCTCTAGGAGGCATTCCTCTCATGCTTTTGTTCTAATCTCTTTTTTCACGACATGAAAGAAAATCCTCTGTTTCATGTGCTCTGTGGAGTTCCTTTCATCCTTCAAAGTGATGTTACTTTTTTTGCAATGTAATTGCCTGTATGAGCTTGCTTTCGAGCTGGAAAGCTAAGTACTGTTTTTGTTGGCAGGGTTATAATGTTTGCCCGTTTACCACATGTCATTGATTGATAACAGTAAGGAAGTAAATAACTGAAGGATTTCACCTGTTTTCTCGTTCTTCTGTTTCTCACAGGTTCATTGCTAAACCATGTGCCTTAGGCCTTAAAGTCCAAGCCAATGGACCACAGAAAGCTCAACCTAATGCTATTCTGGAAAAAGTTTTCACAGCTATTACAAAGGTAGAGTGTCTAACTAAAATATTTACCTTATAAAGTGGAATATTGCATTACAAACTATGTCTGAATAAAGCAAAGCTAATAGATAAATGCAGTGCTGCATTTTTACACCTAAAATCAGAAATGGAAATATTGGGAACACCATTAGTATGCCAGCTTCAGCCGTTGTGCATTCCTTTGTGATGTCTCCTGTAAGCTTTTAATCAAAAAGTTGTCACAGAAACACTTTGTACATGTCATGTGGCCACCCACTCTTTTTTTGCTTCTTATCTGTTAGAAATTTCCACACAGTTTGGGTTTTTTGGAAAAAAAAAAGAGCTAATTGTGAGCCACTAAGATTGATACTGTATTTTCCATGAAACTTAGAGCTACTTCTTCTAGGGGAACTGCCTGAGCACAGGCACTGGTATCCCAGCTATAGGAGAAGGAGATAGAAAAGTGGGAGAAACTGACTGAATAATAGAGCCTGCAGATTTTTTTTTTTCAAGTTTTTCACCCACATCTTACATCTTTATGTCTACATTTCTCACCGTATGACATCTCAACTAAACCTCTCTGTCATTTTGTTCATACTTTTGAAGCATCCTAAACTTTTCTGCAGGAGCCTTTCAGTCCCACCTTGGATCCAGCCTGCAGCTGGACATGCCACAGAAAGTATTAGAGTCAGAGGGCAAAATTGAGTGCAGTGCCAAAGACAGTGAAATATTCTGTGGATCTGCCTTGCTTGTGTGTTCCACCCTATCCTGAGATCACCATGGCACTTGGTGTAGCTTTTGTCCTGTTTTCAGGGAGGGAGACTCATACACACCTTCTTTCTGAAGGCTGCAGCACATGCTCTCACTCGGACTCAGCTGAATGGTTGGATTTTGTTTCTTGTGGGGGTTTTGTGCCTTTTGCTTTTTTCTACTTTTTTTCTTTTTTCCCCAAAATTTCCTTGTAGAATCTGGTAGTCTGATAGAGGGCCTGAAATACCTATAAATGTGAAGAGCTCCAGAGGACCTCCAGCAAAATCTGGTAGCTACTCTCAGTGAAACCATCCAATTTAGCTAACTACCTTTTTTGAATCACACACAACAGTTATCTCTAGTCAAACTCCCAAGGGCTGCATCAAGTATTTGATTTTTCTAAGGTTACAGACAGGGGTTTTCTTAACCTTCCATTATAACCTAGTGGCTACTTTGGTTGATTAAAAAACTTCTTTGAGATGGATAGCAAATACTTTATCCTTCTCTTGTCTCTTTTCTTTTTTTTTTTTCTTGTGTTTTCATGGAGGCTGTTTTCTCTGTTTTATATCTTGTAGCATTTAAAAAGTTTTTGTTGTGAGAGCTCTTGTATCTCATTCAGTTATGTAACTGGCTTGCAGAAATAAAGCTAAAGCTTCAGAAAACAGATTGTCCTAAAGCTTTTTCTGTTTCTTTAAAAAGCAATGTGATCAGGAGAAATACGTAAGTAGTATTTATGCTGTGCTGTACATGTAGAATTGCTGAATGAAGATATGGCTTGTACGCTCTTAAAATTAAGAACAGACTTACTTTCTTTTGCCTTACTTTACCTCTGCACTGGTTTGCAGCTGTGCTGATGGTATGAGAGTTCCACATTTTCTGCTTTGGAGAATATTTGTGTGTAGTTAATTTTACAGAAAAAAATTCCCTCTCATTGTTGTCAAGGTGATTTTCCTTTTGAAGTTGTAACTTTGTTTAATGACCTCATTTTTTAAGATTAAAATGCGGAAACATGGGATTTATCTTCTTTCTCTGTCAGTCAAACCATCCTCTCTACTGCAACAGATGATAGGGCAAAGATCCTGATGTAGGAGGATGAAACAGGCACAGTGTGTGGCAGGCAGCAGGGTGTTTGTAAGACCTGCTGCTCAGTCATTTTATACCTACTTACCTTCACTTCCAAGTTGCAAAGAAGTTTTAATCCCATTGTTCCCTTTAAGTTTCTTACTAGTAATGAGCTGCATGTCATATTACAGGATCTGTTCTTCTAGATTAATACCAGTCACTGTAAACGTATTTTGACGGGAATCTGCCAGTAGCGATTTCTGTGAACATATTTCTATGTATCCATGTGTCTGTCAGGCAGCCTTGATAAGAAGTCAAGAGTCAATTATAGTGGTTCTTTAAAGCATTAATGCAGTTGGGCAAGAAACTAACTTTTACACTTCTCTGTTCTGTAGCACCCAGATGAGAAGAGGCTGGAGGGCCTCTCCAAGCAGCTGGACTGGGATGTACGCAGCATTCAACGTTGGTTTCGACAAAGACGCAACCAGGAAAAGCCCAGCACTCTTAGGAAGTTCTGTGAGAGCATGTAAGGATGTGTGTTCTCTTCTAGAGTTTTGCTGAGCCCATGTTCTCCTCAGTTTTCCTCTTTGTTCTTCACAGGTATTTCTGTAGACGGGTAGAAAATTACACAGATTGGTAGAATATGACTTCTTTAATGAGAAAAACAAACTTCATTCTCCTGAAGGAGTCAGATTATGCTTTTTGTGTACTTTCAATGGTCGAAAGCTTTCAGAAGTCAAATAATTGTGATTCTATACAGTCAGGGTGCCATTCTTTAAGACCAGTCATCTTGTGTTAGAGTGCTTACAGCCCTACCTTTACCTATAAACCTGACAGAGATCTGAGAGGGAGGAGTAAAGATAAAAGCCAGTTGGGTTGTTAAACAAAAAGAAGACAAAAGATAAGTTGACTGATAATGATTGCCCTTTAATAAAAAGAGGAACTTAAGTGTCAGAATGCTTAAGTCCTTTCATTGGTATTTACAGCTAAAATTCTCCTTACTAAATATTTAATAAAACCAGGCAGGTGAGATTATGGATAAACCTAGTCATCCTGTTGCCAGCAGCTGGTGGCCTGAGATTCACTGATTTTTGAGATCAGTGAAGAGCACCCTCTTTTTCTTCAAGGGTTGTAGTTGTTGTCTGCTTAACTTGTAGGAAAGGCTGTGGAATCCTGGGAAAAAAAATTAAAACTGTATTAGTGTTAGAGCTAGTGTATTTGAGTGGTATATCTTGCTGCCTCTGTAACTCAAGGACTTCACTCTCTTGCACTAGTGCCAGCACATTTGGGATGACCTAGTTTTTAAGAAAAACATACCATGAAATACCATCCCAGATTGGATGGCAATGGGTGCTGAACTTTATGGCATTCATTATGGAGAAAGCATGCAGATAACAGCTATGAATGCAGAATGGAAGGTAAGGTCATACTGTAATGAAGTGCTGACAGAATTTAGTGCCAGTTTCGGTTTCATTTAGAGGGAGCCATTAGACATTATTGCAATATGTGTACTTTATAGTAATGATAATACTTGCCCAAAAAGAAGCAACATGGCATAAATAATAGCTGGATAGTTCAGGTTCCATCTGTTAATGGTTTGAGGAGGTGCAGTGGGAGTTGCCTCTGTTTCTGTTTGTACACAGTGCTGTGATAATGAGGTGTTATCCAGCCAACCGTGTGTGCCTTGCCCTGGGAGCATTTCCAGTGGTGGAGGATGCGCCACCAGCTGAGCTATCCCACGTTGGATGAAGTTGTTGGCAGGTAGTCAGACTAGCACTGGGAAGCCAGGACTACCCTTTTAGCCCCTCAGTATGGGTGTTAAACTGTTGTCTAGTTAAATCTACCCATCAGGGCACTAAGCAAGGTACTTCAGTGTGTTTTAACTAAAGAAATTCTTCAGTATGAGGTCTGTAGCCTTTTCACAGCTATTGAGTTAGTGGGGTGGCTTTTTGGATGTAGTGTCTCTGTGTGGCAGCTGCTGGGCTACATAAAATACATGTCACAGGAAGGGGAGCGCTCAAGTCTTCAGTAACTGGGGTGTCAGTGGAGAGTTTCACAGCCAGGACAGAGAACAAAATGTGTCCTTATGTAATAAGCAAGTACAGAGCAGGCATAATGACAGTGATCCCCGCCTACACCTTCATACTGTTGAGCTGCTGTTGACCCTCCAGAGAAGACTTGAGTTTTGCTGGCAATGATATTGATTGACTGGCTTGGAAAGAAAAGTGACAGAACCCACAGCAAATGTGGAGCTACTCTAAAAAGAGTTCCACTTCTTTTTACATGGAGACAATTCGATTTACTGCTAGACAAAGTGTTCCTTGGGCACAGAGTGGCTTTTCCATGATGAAAGGGAGAAGGCAGCTGTGCCAGAAGGGCTGTAGGCCATTCGTGACTGCCTTATCTTTCTTGCAAATGAATAGCGTGGGCACTATGTAAGGTAGAGGAGCTTCAATAGGACAAAGGCTGAGAGTGAAATTTAGTGATAAACGCACTTGCCTGAGATACGTGACACCCAAGATCAAGTGCCAAACACATTATACCAGTAACTTCATCACTAGATTCTTATCGTCCCACATTTCTCACTTTCTCTACCCCTTCCCTTCATTTTTTTTCAAATGATTCCAATTCTATTCGTAAACAGAGTGCAGGGAAACTCCAAAACCTACACTGCTTTGGTGTTTGGTTTTTTGGTTTTGTTCTGGTTTTTTTTCGAAATGGAATAATTCCTTTGATGCCAACCTTTGTCAGATATCCTGACCATTGGCAGATTGTGGTTATATGAAGAAAAAGAAAGTAATAAAATCTCAGTCTATGCACACTGTTTGTGCCATGGCATTATAGTGAAAATAAACTACTTCTTCAGGAACCTTAATCAGCATTCTCCCCATAGTTTTGTGTGGCAGTCTGAAAGAGAAGGTGTAATTTGATTATTGGAGGTGTAGAGACCCTAATGGTCAGGCTTCAGTGGCATCATGTACCTGCTTAAGATTTCAGATGTTAATGGTTAGAAGTATCTATTTGAAATATGAAATAGATAATTTCTCCAGGTAGTGATTAATGATCCATTATTAGTTTTTCAAGGATTTGGTCATTCTGACTTGAAACTTGGAGTTAGAGGCAGTCACTGTTTGCAGTCACTAGGAAAGGCATCCACATGGTATAACCTCAGATTGCAAGGATCAGGCACTTAGCTCACTCTGTTAGCTGCTGGGGTTAGTCTGTCCCTAGCTTTTCTTTCTCTTGTGTGAATTTAGGCAATTTTGGCTCCTTTTCTCAACTTGAAAGATCCAAGGTGCGTAAAGGAGAAGACAAAGTGGTGAACTGAGTGTGCAAAGTGGACTTTTCTACTTCCATAAATTTCTGTTGGGTTTTAATTATTCTTTTCTTTCTGTCCCCATGGCACTGCCTAATATCAAGAAAATTACTTTGCTGGTTGCCAGACCAAATACAGGAACCAAGAATGTGTTTGTTAAAGTCTAATGTGTCAGAAAGGCAATGCAGTAGCAATTCCCAAGCCACTTCCCATTTCTTCCCAGTTTCAGTGTGTTGCACTGCTGCTCACACTACCAGTGCATAGGCATGTCTGGTTTTCTCAAGGAATAAGTAGTACAGAAAGAGACAGCATTCTGTTCTCCCACCTTGTTGTCCGGATCAACATGAAAGAACCTGTGATGGCATAAGTTATTAGCCTGGCACTTTGGAATGTCATCAGGCTGATGACTTGTCTGTCCTACAGCTATGTACATTTAAGCAAGATGTTTATTAGAGACATTTACATAGTTTCCAGGGAGTGGCTAGAAGAAACATATGGCCAAGAGAGGATTTTTGAGTTTATGAAACGTTCTGTGTGTGAAAACATAGAAATGTGCCAACTGAAGAGCCAAAGATCCATTTCCCCCCACCTTTCCTTTCTCGAAGAAGCTTGGATACTAAAATGTTTGTAAGTGAGGTGTCTTTTAGTTTTGACATAGGGGAGAGAAGAGTCTCTGTCTCATATCCTAGCCAGACATTCTTTTTCCTAGGATATTGAAGCTGTGCACATTGCTTTGAGGGACATTTTATCTATCTAGAGTTGTTTTTTTTTTGTTTGTCATGCACATTTGTGTGAAAATTTTATAAACTGTTTACAAGTTCTTGGTCATACTGCTTTTCTCAAGTAGCAGAGTAATTCTGTTCTACAAAATTGTATTGGAAAAATAACTATGCAAGGGAAAGAAGTTAAGGCAGCTGTTTGGTTATTGAAATTCTGAACTGTGCTGATACAAATCTTAACAAAATGCATAGAATAATTCTTCAGTCTGTGCTTTGTGTGTAGAAGTAAAGCCCGAGAAAATAAATAGACTTCTAGCGCTGAATTTTTAATATCATCAGGCCCTTTTAAGCTTCTAAAAAATATCTGATCTGAGCAAAAATATGTGGTAAATGGTATTTTGGGTCCATTTAATTCTGATTAGTCAGCTGCTTCAGTGCTATATGCAGTGAAGGACTAACCAGTGTTTCATGACCAGAGAAGAGAACAAGGGTCTGTGAAGTCGTGCTACATGCTCTGGAGTGAGTGTGATAGTTACCCTTCAATGGCAGTGGAATTGCAGTATCTCCCTTGTCTTCCTCTGCTGTTTTCCATGGAACAGGAATGGCTGTTCCTCCTCACTCTCTAACAGGAATGAGGCATAATCTTTTTGTTGGTTTTCTGGTCTGTTCAGGAGATCTAAGGCACTGGTAACTCAACCAGCTGCTTGGTGAAAGGGTAACTGCACATCTGACTAGTATGCTGATAAAACAGTTAAAGGTTTTCCTTGCTATTGTAACTCTGGTTTCTTTTTTTTTGTCTTAACTGGGCAGATACTTAGTTCTGCTGCACCTTCTCATTGTAATGTGCTGCAGTGGCCCGTGTCCTGCTGTGGGCTGTGTCCAGGAGCTCCTGGGACAGGTGCTTCTGCTGACAAGTGATCGTAACACAGCAGTCTCACCTGAAAGAGAAAGCATCAAGGAAAATCCAAAATTTCTGGAAGTCACAATGCAAGAGCAGCAAACTGCAATGAGGCATAGTATTGAAAGCCACTATGTAATTACTGATTTCTTTCTTCTGAAACACTTAGTACTGAAACCGGTAATAGGACTGAAACTCTTTTATATAGGTGAAAAAAAGCAAATCATTTGCATTTTTGTCTTGCTGATCCTTAACTTACTTCTTTCAGTATTTCAGTTAGCTTTCTGTGACCTTGAGTGAAATACTCTTCGGTGTGTCACAGAAACTTACAATACTGCAGCAGATAATTTATATTTCTGTTAGTGGTGTCTGAAGAACACAGTATTTTGTGATATGATTGAGGACTAGGAAATGTATATTTGTGTACACCTCGCTGTGTCTGGATGTAGATTTCTTTTTTCCATTTCTCTCTGCTATGAACGTAAAGGGAGTTCATCAGTAAGAATAAGGGGAGGAGTATTCCTTCAAGAACATAGCTGAGTTTATAGCCAAGAGACTGGTTTGGCTCAGGTCAGGCAACAAGTTTCCCCAAA